CTAAAGATTTGCTTCAGTTATTTAAAAGGGGGCTGCTGTGCATTGTATTATTGTAAGTAGGTACACAAAGCATTCATACCAAGATGCTCCAAAATGCTAAGAATTACACACCAAAGAATTTTACTTGTACAAAATTTAAGACTGCCTAATGAATCAGTCATCTATTAACTAAAAAAAGTTTGTAAACTATCTTGCTGATGAAAATCTAAAAAGCTTCCAAGGACCAGTCTAGAAAACTACATTGATTCAGGGCAAGAAGATGACTCCAGAAAGACAATCAGTTGTACTAGTAGTATAGTACTATGCACCTAAATGGTGCATGAGACAACAGATAAAATGTATCAGTGTGTATTCAGTGTGACCAGATAAGAAACAGACAGAGCTGCTGGAAGCAAGCATTTAGTCACTAGAACATTTCAACCTGAGTGTTGTGGAATAAGAAATTTGTCATTAAGCTTTTTCATTCTTTTTTTGGGGAGGGTACCAGAAATCGAACTCATGACCTTATACTTGCCAAGCAGGCGCTGTGCTGCTGAGCTATATCCCCAGCCCCATCTTTTTCATTCTTGATAAAACATCCCTTTGTTCTTACCCTATATTCACAAAGTATGGACTTGGTTCCCCAAATTACCAAGGAAAAGCCTAGCTTAAATAGTTAAATCTTTTATTCTCTATATTCATAAAATTAAGGGTCCTGTCTCTTGAGGAAATGGAGAATTCACAGAAGTAGTTGCACACTTGTAATCACAACACATGGGGGGAGGGGCTTGAAACAGGAGGATCACAGTTGGAGCCCAGCCTGGGTAACTTAGTGAGTTAGATCCTATCTCAAAGAAAAGCAGGGCTGAGCATGTAGCCGGGTACCAAAAGTTCAGAGTTCAGTCCTCAGTAGTGGATGCGCATGCATGCACACACATCCACACACACAGAGATGAATTAGTCCTTAAGTGCCAATCAACACTGGATAAACTCAATAAAATAACATTAAAATAATGTTTCTGATCCTACAAAGTTAAAAGTTTTCTAGAACTAGGTAATTTCTGCATAAGCATGTCTACTCAAGGGCTGTTTTGATTTTTTACAAAATTTACTGCATTTTTAGGTTCTATTACAGCTCACTGAAGACAGCACAGGCTACAACTTAAATACAGCTATCAAAGCAGTAATTGTAAATGCTAATGACACCAGCTAACATTTCTGTACGTTCACTAGACATCAGCACTACCAGGTGACATTTATCCCATAAGAACTTATAAGCAAGAACTACTATAAACTCTATTTGACAAATGAGTAAACTGAGGCAGATGAGGTACAACTTGCCTGAGGTCACATATGTTAAGTGGAAGGGCTGAGATTCAATCCAGAATGTCTGTCCCCAAAATCAGTATACTTAATTTCTGTTGGTATGCCAATTATCTCAGTATGACATATGCAGGGCATTTTTGATTTTTGTTTGTTTGTTTTGTACCACTATTCCTGGCTCTAATTTTCTCGGTTTAAAAAGTCTTATTTTGCAAAAATTTTGAAATTACACATATAGTACAAGAAAATGCTCCCAGATCTCCGTAAGTGGTTACACTACAAGTGATTTACCTATTAATTATGGCTTACCTAGTCTTCATAAACATCAAATCATGACAGTTTCAGAAGCCCAGGCAGAAATCAGAAAATATATAAACTATTATTTTAAAATTTAAATATGCTAGCTTTTTAAAGCATAACTTGAGTTACAAAGTACATGTATAAAATATGGGCCCGGGATGTGGCTCAGTGGTAGAGTTCTTGCCTTACATGCACAAGGCCTTGGGCTCAATGCCTAGCACCACAAAAGATAAATAATAAAATAAAATAAATCACCTTTACATTAATAGAATTGGATACTACCATAGAAGTAGAGATAATATAGCTTTTTTTTTTTTTGGTACCCAGAATCAAACTTATGACCTTGCATTTGCCAGGCAAGAGGCGTGCCACTCAGTTATTGTAACCCCAGCTTTTTAAAGAAAACACAATAAATTGAGTCTAGCTAGTGATTTAAATAGATTCAAATCACTTTCATGTTAACTTCAAATTCCTAGCTCTCTAGTTATAAATTTAGCACCCATAACAGCACAATTTTATGGATTAGAAAGTATTTTACAAATTAGATGGTAATTCATCTCATATCATTAACAGTTAAACACATGTGATTTCCTTCCTGTTTTTCCTCAAACTAAAGTCAATATATGCATTGAACTGCTACATTACAAAATTTCTATAAAGAAAATAGCACTTTCCATGAAGTAGTCTTTTGCCATCCTAGTAATATTCTCTTTCCCTGGGTGCCAATTACAAGAGTATGTAAAGTTTAGAAAAATTAAGCTATATACTCTATTATACATAGTTCAATAAAGTTTTTTTTTAAATAAAGTTTTTTTTTTAAAGCTGTGTTTCTTAACCCTATTTCACCAACAAAATATTACAGATTGTCTTTCTTGGAACTTTAAGGAGAGAACTCGATAACACAGAGCAATGTTGAATTTATATTTTCATGATATGGGAAAAGATATTATCCAAGATTTTCCACACAACCAAAAAGTGCTACACAATTGTTCCACAAATCCCCAAGATTTGAAGATCTCAAAGGGAAAAAAAAAACATTCTTTTTTTTAGCTTTTATGTGCTCAATTTATCATCACAAGAACTTAACAGGAAGGTATTAATATACACTTATGACAGATTTGTTTTCCAAAGGTAGCCACTATGCTTATCACTTATCAAATGCTTTTCTTACGATGCTTTTCCTTTACTGAGAAATGAATGTGTTTCCTCTTCTCTAAACCATGCAGAGCTTGATACAAGCTTGAACAAGAAAATATGACAGAAGTAACTGATATGACTCCCAAATTGACACACAAAGCAGAAGAGCTTCCCCCAGCTTGGTCTCCCTCAGGACGCTGGCCTAGGACACTGCTACTAGCCTGGGAAAAGGTGTCCAAAAGCAGCCCCAGAGATGGCTTAAGCCAAGAGGAAAGATGGTGGTCTTTTGTTTGAGACAGGGTCTTGCTGTGTATTCCAGGCTGGCTTAAACTCACTCTGTAGCCTAGGCTGGCCTCATACTCGCAGCAGTCCTCCTGCTTTAGCCTCCATAGGGCTGGGTGGGGTTATAGGCATGCACTACTACATCTGGCATTTTCTAAATGTTTTATAGTTTTAGTTCTTACATTTAGACCTAGCCAGGCCTAGGTGAAAGTGTGAGAGCAACACATAGCCCCCACACTAAAATTACCCAGGGCAACAGTTCATTCCTTTGGTGGGTTCAAAACTCCAACATCATTTCTGCCATAACTGTACCCTTCACATTCTATTGTCATGGCATTCCATAGCCCTTACAACTGTCTGTTTATAATTGGAGGAAATCCAGCAACATCTGGGCCAGGCATGGCAGCACATATCTGTAATCCCATCCCTCTGCAGAGATGAGGCAGGGGGACAAGTTCAAGCCCAGTCTGGCAACTTGGCGAAACCTTCACTCAAGTAAAACCTGAAAAAGGGTCTAGGCATGTAGTTCTCAGTGCAAAAGCCTGGTTTCAACCTCCAGTATCACAAAAAAACAAAAAAGAAAGAAATACCTGTGCATCAATAACAATAAACCTTTACAGAACACTTCATAAAGTACTTCACCAATCACTAATTTGATCCCTGGAGGGAAATCCTCTAAGAGATAAAGAAGGCAAGCATCACACAAATAAAGTTCAAAAAAGCTGAAAATAACTAGCCTCAGTAACTGAGTGAAGGATTTGATTCAGATTTCTAACTCTAAATCTGGTGTCCTTTTCAATTCAGTTCTACAGAGCATCTGCAAGTTGCCTGGATCATACTGTCTCCACAGTGTTTATGGACTATCTACTTTGTGCAAAGCATCACGCCAGGCACAGTCTCTCCTTTTTGCCCTCTCCAAACCCAAGCTCAGTACAAAAGCACCTCCTAAGTTGACACACAACCTCTAAAAAACATGCCTTTCCCAATGATGACCCATCCTCTGCACTGACAACCAACTTCTATGCCTACCTCATAGTACTTAAAAACGGTCAAAGACACTGTCCAACTGATAAAAGTCCAGGCCAAATTTCTTTGTTTGCCTTCAGGTTTTCTGAAATCTGATCTCAGCTTAGTTGGTCAAATGCAGCTCCCATGTATGGAAAAAACCTAATGAGTCTCTTCAGTCTTTCCCAGTTCACTTCCCCTCCTTTGGCTCATCCTGTCATCCAAATCTAGAGATACTCAAGCACTCATTCTCAGCCCCAACCAAGTCTCTTCCCTCAGACTGGAACCATCTTATAGAACTAGGATTCTCAGCTTTAACATTAAGTTCAGCAGCACCGTAATAGCTGACAGGTATATAAAGGGCAGGAATCACTGAGAGCTGCTGGACTAGGAGAGGGCTCTGAGTGACAGGTAGGATTTGAACCTGCAGAAGGACAAAGTCCCCTCATGAAAGAATTACCTGACAGCCTTCCCTTCCTCCTCCTCTTCCTATTTACCTCCTACCTATCCTTCAGCCAGCACTACCTGCTTGAAGAAGCCTGCCTCAGTTAACTCAGAACCTAACTCTCTCTTCCCTGAGCCCCTAACAGAATTACTATCTCTATCACTCACTCTAGCAACTTTTTCTGCGGTGCAGACCTCAGCCCTTCCAATGAGTCCTGGAAGACAGCAAAGTCTCTACAACAACTAGTCACATGTATTCAAGTAAACTCAATTCAGTAGCCATTTCTGCTTTTGGTTATTTAAAAAATCCATGGGGAGCCACTGGGGATTTAGCTCAGCAGCAGAAGCACCTGCCTTACAAGCACACGGTCGTGAGTTCAATCCCCTGTACTAAAAAAAAAATCCATTGGGGGGCCAGAGATGTAGCTCAGCAGTGCAAGGCTCTGAGTTCAATTCCTGATTCCAAAAAAATAAATAGAAAAAAAAGACCAATAAAACTCCACTGAATGTAACACTGTTTCTTAACTTACCTGGCATCTCCTTTGGAAAGGTTCGTATTTACAGGATTAAGAATAACCTTGTTTACATCAACATCCACCACACATTTGGTATGCAGGTCAATTTCTGCAGATAAAAAAACAAGAAAAAGTCATTTTAAAAAGAAGCAATTTATTTTAGGAAAAGCATTTGCCAAAAAAATCCAACACTCCTTCATGATAAAAATAAATTAGGAATAGAAAACTTTCCCAACCTAATAATGGGCATGTAGAAAAGCCCACAAGCTAACATTACACTTGATAGTGAAGGAATGAACAGGCCAACCTCCAGCATCAGGAGTAAGACAACGCTGTTTACTATTCTTCTCTCCAACATTGTACCAGAAATTCTAGTCAGGGCAGTTAGGCAAGAAAAACAAACAAAAGGCATGCAGATTGGAAAGGAAGAAGTCAAACTATCTCTGAAGATACGATCTTGTGTGTAAAAAATCCCACCAAATCTAAGAAACTATTAGAAGAAAGAGCTTGTACAAGATTGAAAGAAATAAGAAAATACAAAAATCAGCTGAGTTTCTAAATACTAGCAATGAAAAAAATATGGAAATAAAATTAAGAAACTAATTTTACTCATAATACCATCAAAAGAATGAACAACTTAGGAATAAAGGTAAAAGAAATGCCAAGACTTGTATCCTGAAAATTTCAAAACATTGTTGAAAGAAACTAAACACTCAAATAAACAGAAAGACATCCTCCGTCCATGCATCCAGTTCCTACCATCCAGACAGCAACAGTCTAAATCTACAAGACTGGAGGCAGCAGCTGGTGCTGGAGCTCAGCATGCATGTGTTCAGCATGCACAGGGCCTAGCTAAGCTTGCCAGCAACGCACGGTCATGCTCACATGCACACAAGCACACACGGCACTCCCTTTCAAAAAAAAAAAAAAAAAAAAAAACCACTCAGCATAGTCAAAACAATCTTGAAAAAGAACTCAGTCTCCTGTTTCAAAACTAAATCTACAGTAGCCAAGACAATGTGTCACTACCCTAAGTACAGACACATAGATCCACAGAACACCACAGATACTGTATCTAGATCAATAGAGTCAAACTGAGAGTCCAGAAAAATATGCCCACATTTATAATGAACTGCTTTTGACAAGGGTGCCAACACAATCTAATGAGGAAAGAACAGCCTTTTTAACAGATGGTGCTGGAAGACTGGCTACCCACATGTAAAATAAAGGTGAAGCCCTGCCACATTCCACGCTCGAAAACTAACTACAGAGACTGGGAGAAAAAAAAAAAAAAGACTTAAATCGATGAAAAGTCTAAATGTAAGAACTAAAACTATAAAACATTTAGAAAATGCCGTAGTAGTGCATGCCTATAACCCCACCCAGCCCTATGGAGGCTAAAGCAGGAGGACTGCTGTGAGTATGAGGCCAGCCTAGGCTACAGAGTGAGTTTAAGTCAGCCTGGAATACACAGCAAGACCCTGTCTCAAACAAAAGAAACAAAAACCTTTTAGGAGAAAACATAAACAAGGGGCTGGGGATATAGTGCAGTGGTATAAGCACCTGTCTGTCAAGTGCAAGGTCTTGAGTTCAATTCCAGGTACAAAAAAAAAAAAAAAAATCACAAGGCCAGGGATTCAGCTCAGTGGTGTAAGTGCTTGCCTAGCAAGAATGAGATCCTGAGTTCGATTCCCAGTACAAAAAAAAAAAAAATCACCAAAAATCTAGGTGACCTTGGGTTAGGTAATGATTTCTCAGATATAACAGCAAAAGTAAGAGCACAAAAGAAAAAAATTGAACCTCATCAAAATTTAAAAATCCATGCTTCAAAAGATAGCATAAGGAGAACAGAAATGATGAAATATCTACAAATCACATATCTATACAGGATTTATATCAAAATACATTTTTAAGAAATGATTATAGTTCAACAAAGACAACCCAATTTTTAAATAGACAAAGAATGAAAACAGTCATCTCTCCAAAAGATGACATAAAACTGCTCAATACGCCCAGGAAATGACGCACAACATCATTAAGACACCAGCAAAAGGCAAAATAAAACCACAGTGAGATACCACCTCACACCCACTAAGATAACTATAATCAAAAAGTTAGGGAACAGACCAGGTACCGTGTAATCCTAGATACACAGAAGGCTGAAGCCGGACGATTACAAGTTCCAGGCCAGCCTGGGCAACTTACCAAAACTTTATTTCAAAATAAAAATAAAGAATAAAAAGGGTTGGACTGTAGCTCAGCACTTCCTAGGTTCAGTTTCCAGCACCCCAAAACTGAAAGAATATATATATATGTATGTATAACACAAACATCAATTTGTGAGGAAATTATTTCCTTGGTGCACTACTGTTAGAAATATAAAATGTCTTTGTAAAACTATTTGGCAGTTCCTCAAAAAGTAGGCATTCCCAGCATTCTGGGAGGCAGAGGCAGGAGGACTGCAAGTTTGAGCCTAACCTGGGTAACTTAGCAAGACTGTGTTTCAAAATAAAAATAAGGGCTGGGGATGCAGCTCAGGACAAAGACCTAGGATGTACTCTTGAGTACTAAAAAAAAAGGAAACTTCACATTATGATGTGATTTTTAGCAATTGTCTTCATGAGTTCACAGTGGGATGCCTGAGCACAGACTGCGCAGGTGACAGGAGCACCACGTCGAGCAGAGCACAGTGGGGTGCTCACGCTGCCTTTGGTGCCTGCCACACACAAACAGAAACCGTCGTGTACCAGGGCGCTGGGCCAGGCAGCGAGGACCCAGAGTCACCCCGACAGCAGCTCTGCCTTCCTGCCTGCCTGTCTGTGCACGCCTGCAAGACAGATCTTTCCTGTTCCCACAGGTAGGACATGTAAATTTGCTTACTGAATTATTACCCACATTGCTTTTTGGGGTTTTTTTGGTACCTGGGATCGAACTCAAGACTTTGCGCTTGCCAAGCAAGGCGCTTGTGCCACTGAGCTAAACTCCCAGAGCCCTCTTACTGAATTATTAAATGTGGGGTACATTATTTCATTAAATAATTTAATAAATTAAAATACTTTTTTTAGCAGCTTTGCTCTAAGACGTACAAAAGTGTATCAAATACTTTTTTGCCTATGATACTGTCACAATTACATACAGGGCACTGCTGATACTAAAAAGATTACAATTAAAATATTTTAAAAGGAAGTTTTCTTACTTATACACATTAATTATGTGTTTTACATGCAGTCCAAGACAATTGTTCCCTCACTGTGGCCCAGGTAAGCCAAAAGCTTTTCTATCATTTTACAGTTACCATAGGATCGAGCAATTCCACTCCCGGACATGCATCCAAGAGAAATAACAACTATGTCCATATAAAATTCAGGATAAAGCTAAAGAAGCTAAAATAATCCAGACTATTTCTACTACGAATTGAATGAACAGGGCCAGGATATGGTGTAAGTGCCTGCCTGGCAAGCACAATGTCTTGAGTTCAATTACCAGTACCAAGAAAAAAAAAAAAGAAGAAGAAATGAATGGACAAATAGGATATATCCGTCGAATGACACACTGTGCAGCACAAAAAATAAATGATACAACAATACAAACTACAACCTGGATGATGCTTGCACTAAGGATGCTTGCACAGCTAGTCACAAAAGACCCTAAGTCGTGTCATTCCTCTGAGTTGAAAGAACCCAAAAAGGGAAATCTACAGAACTGGAGAGAAGATGGATGGCTGGGAGAGGGTGAAGTTTTCTTTTGAAAGTGATGAAAATGGTCTAAAACTGATTGTGCTGTTGGCTGCACAACTGTGAGCTTAAAAACAATAAACTGGACGCAGTTCATGAATTTGAATTATATCTCAGTGCAGCTATGTAAGAAAGCATATTTATGTTCTCATACTTCCATATCCTACTTGTCTGACCCAAAGTATGAAACTGTTTCTTTTCACCTTATCTCTACTGCCAAAAGATAAGGTCTGAGGAAAGGAGTCACTTGTGTTTCCCAAAGAACCTTGGCCAAATGTCAATGTCACATTCGCTATAAAGTATTTCTACTGTCAGAAAAGGTAATTTAAAAATCCGTTTGAACTTAAATAACGAATGCAAAGCAAAACAAAAAAATAAAAATGTCCCTCCCTTTGCTGGCCACAACTTAACTTTTCTTTTATCAGTTTTTCTACTTTATTCTCCAGATACATTCTAGAAATACAAAGAAGTTAGTATTTCTTTCAACCAATACATTTTTAAGCAAAGGGAGCTTTTTGTTTTGGGGGCAGGTTTTTTGCTTTTTTGAGACAGGGTCTCACTATGTGGTTCAAGTTGGTCTTGAACTCACTTTGTAGCCTAGGCTGGTCTTGAACTTGCACGATTCTCCTACTTCAGTCTCCCAAGTGCTGGGATTACAGGAGTGCGCCGCCACACCTGGCCAAAGGGAATTTTTTTTTTTTTTTTTTTTTGGTCTTTTTCGTTTTTATCGGTACCAGGGATCGAACTCACGACTGCCTGCTTGCAAGGCAGGCACTTATGCCACTGAGCTAAATCCCCAGCCCCAGGAATATTTTTTCATTGTTCTGTTTTTGTGGTGATAGCGATGGAACCCAGAGCAGCTTTACCGCTGAACTTTATCCCAAGTCCTTTTTTTTGTTTGTTTGTCTTTCTTCTTTGAGTCAGGATTTCACCAAATTGCCTAGGCTGGTCTTGAACATATGACCCTCTTGCTTGAACCTCCTCAGCAGTTAAGATTGCAAGCATGTACCAAGACCCAATTTTTTCTAGCAAGGGCCACATGCATGCTAGGTAAATGCTCTACCACTGACCTATGCTCCCAGGCCAAGAGCTGAAAGGGAGCCTTTAGAGCTTCACTTAGCTGGGGGAGACTAACCAACCCCAAAAGACTACTACAAAGTATGTTCTGCTGTGATCAGTCAGCTTTAAAATCTACTCCTAATGCTCTGTGTTTACATCAGCTTTAGACCCATACCGAAATGCTGCAACAAGTCTCAGTCACACTACAGCTTCCTTTGCACCATGCAATTACCTCCTTGCTTCCTTGGGCTCAGAGCCCAATAAAGTGTGCAATCATCTTAATTGGCTAATATTAACCATACGTATTATCTGGCCC